CCTCTGCAAGGGGATCTCCAGTGGCCTACTAATGGGCTTTGGGTCTCCACTCTGCACTCCCCTATTTTGTGCTTGGAGCATGGAAATTACCTAGTAATATCATTAATGTGTAATGTAAGTCACACTATGTGGGAAATAATTTTTAAATGGTTGCAGAAGCACAGAGAGGGCAGCTTCCAGAAATGCAAGTAGGATGCAGAAGAGGATGTTGAACAAAGGATATCAACGACTGATGTCCGATGGAGCTTGAAACTAAGTAAAGAATACGAGTCAAGGATTTACTTGTGCTTCATGGACTATGCAAATCATCCAAGTATGTGCATCAGAACAGATGATGACTGTAGCATTGTAAAGAATGGGAAGTCTGGGGCGTTTCATTGTGCTCGTGTGGAATCGTTGCATAGACCAAAAAGAATTGTTGGAGCAGAACAAGGAATACTGCCTGGTTTAAATTCTGGAAAGGTGTCTGTCAGGATTGTATCCTTTCGCCATACGCAGTCAATCTGTCTGCTAAGCACATGATCCAAGAAACTGGGCTCTGTGACTAAAATACGGCCTGGGTGGGGGGGATTCAGGAATAACTTGTGACCTGCAGATGATACAACTTTGCTTACTGAAAGCAACGAGGACCTGAAGCCTTTACTGATGGACTCAGCCTTCAGCCTGGACGACATCTCAATGTCAAGAAAACAAAAATCCTCAATACATAACATCATGAAAGACAGAAAAGATTAACGTTGTCAAGGATTTTATTATACTTCGAGCCACAAGCAGCCATCAAGAAATAAAACAACATGTTGCATTGGATAAATCTGTTGGAAAGGGTCTTTTGGAAGATAGGACTTTGAGGACTGAGGTACACCTGACCCACCATCATATTTTTCCATCACCGTATAGTCATGCAAAATGACAATGAATAAGGATCACCAAAGAACTGACCCATCTGAGTTAGGATGTTGGTGAGGAATATAAAATACCCAGCGATTGCCAGGAGAATGAACAAGTCTGTCTTGCAAGAGGTAGAGCCAGGATGCTTCTGGTGCGTGAGTACAGTGAGCCTCGGTCTCATGCATGTTATCAAGAGGAACTAGTTCCTGGAGGATATCATACTCGGTCAAGTTGAGGGCCAGCAAAAAAGGGTGATGCCCTCAATAAATTGTGCACAATGGCGGCAGCAATGGGCTCAAGGGAAGTAGCAATTGTGAAGATGGCACAGGACTGGGCACTTCATTCTACAGGCCACAGGGTCACCGCGTGTTGGAGCCGAGCCAACAGTTTCTCTTTTTTGGTTAATCATTTTATTAGGGGCTCATACAACTCTTATCACAATCCATACATACATCAATTGTGTAAAGCGCATTTGTACATTCATTGCCCTCATCGTTCTCAAAACATTTCCTCTCCACTTAAGCCCCTGGCATTAGGTCCTCATTTTTCCCCTCCCTCCCCCCTCCCCCCTCCCTCATGAGCCCTTGATAATTTATAAATTATTATTATTTTGTCATATCATGCCCTGTCCGATGTCTCCCTTCACCCACTTTTCGGTTGTCTGTCCCCCAGGGAGGAGGTCACATATAGTTCCTTGTAATTGGTTCCCTCTTTCCTACCCACTCTCCCTCTACCTGCCCTGGATTCCGTGTTTCCAGTTCCTATCTATACCAGTGTACATCCTCTGGTCTAGCCAGACTTGCAAGGTAGAATTCGTGTCATGATAGTGGGAGCTAGAAAGAAGCATTTAGGAACTAGAGGAAAGTTGTATGTTTCATCATTGCTACATCGCACCCTGACTGGCTCATCTCTTCCCCAAGACCCCTCTGCAAGGGGATCTCCAGTGGCCTACTAATGGGCTTTGGGTCTCCATTCCGCACTCCTCCCATCATTCACTATAGTAAGGTTTTTTGTTCTGATGATGCCTTACACCAGATCCCTTCGACACCTCGTGGTTGCATAAGCTGGTGTGCTTCTTCCATGTGGGCTTTGTTGCTTCTGAGCTTGATGGCCGCTTGATTACCTTCAAGCCTTTAAAACCCCAGATGCTATACTTTTTGATAGCCGGGCACCATCAGCTTTCTTCGCCACATTTGCTTATGCACCCATTTGTCTTCAGTGATCCGTTCGACACCTCGTGATCACACAGGCTGATATGTTCTTCGATCCAACAGTTTCTAACAACAACAACAACATTCTGCATTTCCTTTCCTTCCCCCTTCAAGTCTTCCAAGTATCATCGCCTTAAATTTCTATGCCTGGAAAGTTATTATACCTGATCCACACATCACAGTCTTAGGACCCTCATTTTTTCCAGCTATACGGGAGATCGATGCATGTGTGTGTCCATGTACAAGTGAAAATGTGTATCTGTATATATGCATGTATGCATGTGTGTGTATGGTTACCCACACATATGTATCAGAAGATTCCTGCCTGCCTTGCAGGTGATCTGCGGCCGGGTAGGTTAAGATTAAATGGCCCCAGGGGAGGCCTGACTTACACTTCGTCATCACAGTTTAGCGGCTTCTCCAGTCTGTAACCCTGTGGCAGCTTCTCATAGAGCTCTGCACACGTCATCCCGCAGTAGGGGGTGCCACCTGGAAGACAGGGAAAGGTGCTGTCCCAGGTGCCCCGGAGGGCTGAAGACGATGGGCGGTCTGCTGCCCAAGGGCTCTAGAGTCACAGGAGGGTGGAAGAAAGGCAAAGTCTGTGGAGAATGTGAGCACCCACCAAGGTCTGGCCGCCCTTTGCAAACCCATGTATATCACACTGGACTTCCGGTAGAGACTCCCCTACAATGTGGACCTTGGATGGAAAGACCCACCACAGGGTTCATGTCTACATTTCAGACTCCATGAATTCTCTCCCAGGAGTCTGTCTGCCCAGGCACAGCACCTCCCTTGTACCCATAAGAAGTGCCTTTGTTTTCTCTCACTGAAAGTCTATTGTTATGTTATGCAGCTCCTATGTTAGCTATCAAATGTTCCATTTTCACTACAAAAGCAATCCATGTTTATTGTAGAATTGTTTTTAAAGTATAAAAAATATAGAACTTTCCTTTTTGGTCTAATGCCTCCCAAGGGTTCTTTCATATGTCGCATTAATAAAACTGGAATGAGAGTATATATAGAATTTGGGGAGGGGGCACACATTTTTTCATGCTATTAAATGGCCTTTAAAAGTGTGTCTTTAAATAGGTGCGTAAAATTCCATCTTTAAAAGTTGCAGAAATAAACTTGTTCCAGTTCAACTACCGCTTTGCGGTCAAGACCAAGCTCACCGCCATTGAGCTGATTCTGCTCATAGCGTCTCTGTAAGACTAGGTTGAACTACCTGCCCCTGTGAGTTTCTAAGATTGTAGCGCTTTCTAGGAATAGAAAGCCTCATGAATCAGAACTGACTCAACGTGAGAGGATTTCTCTTTGCATAAGTTAACAAACAAACAAACAAACAAACAGTAACACCAAATCCATTGCTGGTGAGTCAATTCCAACTGGTAGCGGCCCTGTAGGACAGAGTAGAACTGCCCCGCAGGGTTTTTGAGGCTCTGTAAACGTTTACAGAAGTAGACTGCTGAGTTGGACCTTTCAGGTAGCAGCCAAGCATGTTAACCACTGTGCCAGTTGGGCTCATATTTGCCTAAATAAGGACAATTAATCTGTTGATAAAGTTCATATCGGTCAAGTTGTTTGTATTAAATATGACATCAGACATGGGGGTAACCATTTCCCAGTTCCCTCTTGTATCCAACATGCAATTGGCACCCAGCGGAGTTACACAATGAAGGACTGTTAGAGGGTCCCCCCCACCCCCACCCCCTGTAGGTAACCCCTGGTGGCACTCACCTAAGCTAACAATCTCCCACAGTAACACACCGTAGGACCATCTGCAGAAGGAACCATGAGAAACCAACAATTAGCAAATAGGGTGACCACCAGTTTCCAGCCCAGAATTCAAGAGCCAAGGTGATCCTCAAAGAAAATGGTAAATGTCTGCCAGGCTAGTGTCTTGCACACAAAGTGGCTTTGCTTCTTCCTAAACTAATAGAAGGATTGCAACAGGGAGGAGGGTCAGCTTTGGCAAAGCCCCTGACTCAAGGTAGGTACTGAATGCAAAGTGGTCCAGAGGGGAAAGTTGTCAGGCCGACCTATCAAAATGAAATCCCATCTCTTCCTCTTCATTCACACGTGACCTTGCACAAGTGACGGAGCCTCTGGCGGGACGCCTTGGTTGGTTCTTCTGAAACTGAGGATAACTGTGCACCTCAAAGGTCTGCAGACAACTCCATGAGATAACACCTAACAGCCACCTTGCTCACAGTGAGGGCACAGGAACGGCCCATCTGTTTCCCCTCCCCAGGCATCAGCAAAACTCCTGGCAGACATCACCCTAGTTTTTCTCCTAAAAATAGGGAGCTGCAAAATGCTAAGCTACCATCCCAACCCTTTCTTCCCCCACCAGCCTGAAAGGTGTCACTGCAGGATGCCAGCAGAAAGGTTTCCAATCTTCTGCATCCTTACCTTGACCCTGCCCACCCCCCACCCCACCCCACCCCCTCCCGGGCCCCCATCACTGACACCTAGTTGCCTCTCTGGGCTGCCCCCTGGGATCTAGGTCCTGCACAGGGAGGTCTGCCTCAGGGGGTTGGGGGAGGGGCACAGGAAGGTCAGTTGCTCCCGTCCTCCTCTGCTGAGAAAGAACTCACTGCTTGAAGTCTCCCCATGACAGGCAGAAAGAAACCCAAAATCTGCCACCAGTGATTTCTAGAACCTGAAAATCCTCTGCTCTTCATTCATTTCCTAGGTCTATTGATAAACTTTATGCTGCCGAGAGACATAAAATTCCTCCTTCCCTTTTATACCTCTGTCACATACAGTGTTCTGGAAGGAAAAAACAATCCTTCCGGAGCACAGGGCTTACTCACACATCACTGTTGGTTGTGTACACACTGTAATTCAATGACTCAATCGCCATCCAACGCACTGGGAGCCTTCCCTGCAATGAACAAAGAGAGATGCCACTTATGTAGGCAAGCCAGACTCCACGAGGCTCTCCGTGACCTGAAGTGGCAAAAGCCACAGGACATTCCATTTTGGAATGTCATCCACTGATGGAAGGGACAACCAGCTCAGGAACTGTTGTTTAGTTGATGCTCCACCTAGCAGTGTGTTTTCAAATGGAAAGACCAGCAAATAGTGCAAGGTAGTCATTCTCCCCTCTAGTGGTCCACATAGCAAAGCTATTGAAATAAACATATAAATACATGTGTGTGCATGGGTTCGTCAAGTATGTGCTCACTCTGTGGCTCTCGGAGGCACTCAGATGTTAGAAAGGAGGGGCCAAGAAAAGAAACCCTGAAATAAATTGAATGTCCGAAAGGCTGATGGGCTCACCAAGGTGGAGAGGAGAGACCGAGCCTGGGGAGATTGAGGAAGCTTTTCAGTGGGAGGGTATATGATGTCAAGGGGTTATCTGATGGATGAGGGGAGAAAGAATTTCAACCTAAAAGAAACAGTGTATTTATATATTAGCAGAAGTTCAAATAGTTTATGGCCAATGCAATTTACATGGGGTTTGAGGATAGAACCAGACGCAGAGACACACACTCCCTGTTTGAGTGTCCAGCCTGGACTCTGCAGATCGCTACCCATTTATAAGCTGGCCGAGACCACGCTGGACAAAATGAGAACCGGACTATACCTCGTGAAGTTTGACTTCTGAGTGGGTTGGTTCCCACTCTCCTCAAATTCTCAATGGTTTGGGACTCTCCTTCTACCCTCCCCACTCCAGAAGCCATATGAACCTTCCTGAAAGATCGCTTCCTCCTGGGATTTGTCCAAGCTTTCATGGTGGTATTCTAGCTGATGGTGGCCAGTGGGTTGGAGGAAATGTGAGGAGTCTTGGGGGGGGGAGGTGAGGTTTCTTCAGCCCCCCACAGTCAGAGTATGCATTGACCCACATCTAGCCCTGCCCTAGATGCCAAGGAGGACTCTTGACTGTGCAATTACCTTCCCTTTCTTTGTGCAGTGACAATATTCGGAAGCTCTTTCTGACCCTACACCTTCTGTGGTAAGTCTATATTTTAAGGCCCAAGGATAAAAACACCCTTTCTCAACCAACATGTTCCATGTTCTTCTCAGCATTCATTCCCACCCCCTCTTCACCCCCTTTCTACCCCACAGCCACACACGTCTCCAAGGGGGCTTCGGAAACTGCATGGGAAATGGAATTAAAAGATTAAAGTTAAAAGGAACTTCCCCCCATGATCTTTTCAAACCTCCTGGCGTCATTCAGGTTCTCTGGCCCCTTGCATGTAGCAAGAGTGTCTACATTGGTCATTCTTGCTTTCTCTCATTTTCTCCCCAGCTCCTGGCTTCTGATCTCGCACCACCCACAGACTAAGTTCCACGGATGCTTTTCATGTCTTTGAGTACCTAGCTTCTTTTTGAGGCTCCCCACATCTATCTGTTCCTACCGCCAGCTTCTTCATTCAGACCACCACCAGTTCCTGCCCATGACACCAGCCTCTTCCCTCATCTCCCTAATGGAGACCAGCCTCCAGCGTGACTCTCTAATGGTTGCTTCTCCACCCCAATCAGAACCATCCTTCTAAATGACAAAGCTGGCCAGGACGTTCCTTTTCTTTACGATCTTTAGTGTTCCTAGTACCCCAAGAAAAAAGACCAGATCAAAACCCTGTGCTGGAATTCAGGGCCCTTTAAGACTTTATCCCTGCTTGCCCCTCCAACTCTTGAATTTTAACTCTCTTCACTTTAGAACTGCACCTCCAGCCGTAGGGAATTACTTCAAGGTACCTGTAGGTCATTTTGTGTTCTGTGTTCTTGACTCTGTGCTGTTGATGTTGAGTCAGCTCTGACCCGTAACCTCCTTAGCTTTTGAATATAAGATACATGATGTTCCAAGGCATCAATGCATTCTTGAATCTTCAACATATGTTTAACCCTTACTCAAAATGCAGGCGTTAATCTCCTCCAGGAAGCCTATCCTGGTTGCCCACCGACTAGGCTGTTATGTGCCCTGCCTTATGAATTAGGAACCTTATTAATGTATGTCCTTGATTAATAGAAGTATGTTAAGTACAGTGTGTGCATTTGTTGTTGGTTTTCCCCTCGTGGGTTTGCTGTGCATAAAAGGGAGTTGTGAGAGCACCTGAGAGGTCTGTAAGTGAGAAGCCTAGAGGTCTGGACAGGACTCAGACCCAGACGGGGCTCACTTATAGACCCTAAGACTGGCCTGTGAAAGCACTGGGCCACACTGAGCAGTGCTCTGAAAAGATACTTTCTGGCCAGGATATTATCCACTAGGGTACACAGCCAGATGCCTCTCTCCCCACAGAGCACGGGGTGTTATACGAAAGACACATCAAAATCCAGGCGGTGCTTTGGAAAGTACATGATCAATGTCCGGGTTCTGAACTTACCATCGTCTTTTTCACATATACTTCTTGGCCTCGGGACAATCCAAAATCTGCTATTTTCGCTACATAATTTTCACCAACTAAAATGTTTCTGGCAGCCAGATCCCTGTGGATAAACTGAAATTAAAAAAATAAAATTATTTATCTCCCACACACTACTTGCCTTTTAGTTCATTTTATTAACCCATAGCTCTGGGGACGTGAATTTCAAGAGATTATGAAAGGGGCTTTTAAACATTTGTTTACACCTGTCCCTTCTCCCAGAAGAATTTATTTCAGAGGATAACACTGAAGCTGCAGCTCAGGGAGAGGGACATGTCTGACCAGAGCACACAGGAGCAAATGAGGGGGGAAGAAGAGAGAGTGGAGCACATCTGGCCTACAAAGCCTTGAGGACAATATTCCCCCTCAGAGCAGCCAATCCACAGAGAGGACCACATGGCCAGCCCCACTATGAGACACAGCATCCCTCACTGACCAATAGCCCTACAGGGGACAACACTGGAGACACAGTGTGGGAATTCTGCCCGATCTGATCCCACCACACCGAGGCAAAACACTAAGGGCATGGAACA